TCACGCTCTGTTTCCCTCTCACTCTTTGGTTCTGCCTGTTCGAGTGCACCATGTGCATGGATCTGTGACTTCTGTTGCCTTTCTTTGAGTTGCTGTTGCTGGGATGCGCTGCTTTCTTTGAACTGCTGTTTCACTGTGTCTGTGCTGCCATACTCACCTGCTTGGTATGAAGTGCTGTGTACTCTGGCTTTCAATCATCCCGCCTTCTCACAGAGCTTGGATAGCAGAATTAGCTCAGACATCTCAGTTACTGCTGTTTGCTTCAGTCTATGAACTCTGCAGCAGAGAAAGGATGTGTTTGTGTACTTGTGCTGAGACTTTAATTATTAATGTCTGAGTGTGAGGAAAGGAAGTGATGTGATTGGTCTGATGCTATCCACTTCTCTCACCCTGCACTGTCAGGCTGTCAGGATGTGAGACTTTCTTTCATACAGACTCTTGATCGGTGGTAGGTCATGTTTGAGGACACAGTGTGTGTAACCCTGATCAGATAAACCACAGCAGGAGATCTGTCCAGCCAGGTTTGTTTTTAGGTTGACTGAGACAAAGGAGACGCTTCTTCTCTCATGTTTAAGACAACAGGGACATTGTTTCAAAAAACATAGTGATATAAATAAATCTTAACCTGTTCCAACCTGTTGTAGAGTAAGATGAACTCGTGTAAAGTAGTAAAGCTGTTTATAATGTGTGTTTATTGATTTTATTAAGACTCTTTCAAAAGAGTCTTTTTTTGTTTGTTTCCAATTGAGAATTAGCTAGCTACTGGAGCTAACCAGCGCTAACTACAACCCAACAGTAAACAGGAAGTACCAGGGCTGGACTGGGACAAAAAATGGGCCCGGGCATTTTGACGAGAGACCGGCCCCCCAGGTATTATAGGAAAAGCCATGAAGCCTTTGAATGAAAACAGACGCTGTGGTGACAGTGATGTACAGTCTTGTTGGTATATGTATGATTTCTATACATTTGACATCAGATAAAAACTTTGGTCGTAAGATTCAGATAATTATTTGTTAAAAGCGAGACATTTTAAATGAGAATAAGAAAGAAAAGTATTTCTTTGTGCCCCCCTCTCCCTGTTAATGCCCTACCTGCCCCCTGACCCGCCCCTGCACAGTTACCAGCTGTCAGCTACTTAGAAGAGGATCCTGGTGTTATTTGTCTCTCAGAAACAGTTCATAACTTCAACTCATTCCAGTCAACCCTCTGCTTGTTTCCTCTTTCTGGTGCAAAGTGGGCGATAAACAAACAAGAGAGACGATCAGCTGATCATTGATCAGTTTCATGACTGAAGTAGCAACAGGAGAGGGAGGGGAGAGAATGAGAGAAGGAGAACAGCTGTGCAGCAAAGACAGAATAACTCCAGCTTTGTGTCTTTTCCATTCCAGCTGAAGTCCGGGACAAACGGTTTCTTTTCACCTCAATATGAAACGCGTGATATTTTCTCTGACTGTAAAAAGTCAGCACAACAAAAATAAACTCCACTAAACTTGGTTTATATCTGACCCAGATAGACTGCAGGTCATAACTTCTTACCTGAAGTTCAGTTCACCTGACACTCAGACCAGCGGCCGCCTCGCGTCTCTGCTGTTCTGCTGCTGTACTCTAACCAAAGAAAACAAGAAAACAAATCCCAACAGGGTTTTAAATTGAAGAAATTGTATTGATGCTATCTCTACTCAATACAGAATGCATGTAGGTCAGGGCTGTGCATAGACTTTACGACAGGAGTGTGTTATTGATGCTGGCGGGGTAGGGCTACGAGAAGGCCCCGCTACATGTCGCTGTAGGTCACGAACACGACGAAACACACTGCCCGAACAGGTTACT